AAGGTTTGGGACAAATTTTACCTTTGCAGGGTAAGCTCTTGGAGGGCAGAGGCCGTGAAGATTAACTTCCAGGCTAGGGTGTCCCTGGCCCAGCAGTTGCATAGACAGTAGCTCAAGGATGCCCAGTGATGTTGTGGGGGTTGCAGGAGAAGAGGGACACAGCCTCCAGATTGGTCTCCTGGAGTCGACTAGTAGCTGATGAGTGTTAGGTCCAGGCTTCATCTGAAGCAAATGCTCAGTGTGCCCGTTAGTAAGCACTTATCTCCCAGCTCCAAACCCACCCTTCTCTGCTCTGCTTTGAGATGCTGGGGCTGGGACTCTGCAGACCTTATTTCTGCTTTGCCAGCAGTTCCCTGTCAGGCTCTGCTAGAGGGAGACTGCAGGGCTGGAGGAGGAGAGAGAAAGGACCTGCTCCTTTTTGTTTTTTGTCCCTGTGAGCATTGTCCCAGCAATACTTCCTGTTTGCTTCCTTTTCCTGATGAGAACACTTCCTGTCTCATTAGCATCACCTCAGCCTCACTTCCTCCCCCTGGCGGTGGCAGTGTCTTGCCAGTACATTTGCCCATATGCTTCATTGTGTCCCGACCCTCAGAGATACCAGCACCCCCTCGTCAGAGGCTGGGTCCCAGCTCCACAGGACCCCCTCTCCAGTTCAGAGACACTCGCACCAGCAGCCAGTGCCCCCCTCCTCCTTGGGGGTCTGAATTTCAGCTCTGTGGGGGCTTTTCCTCCATGCTTCTGTCTTAATAATTCCAACCTTCCTCCCATGTTCTTGCAGCCCTAAGGTGTGGGGTGGAAGGGTGGGGACAGCTGCTTCCTATAGCTACTACTTCTGTGATGCTTTTGAGTTCTCATTCTTTCTCTCTCTCTCTCTCCCGCCTTTTCAATGAACTGTAATTATTTTAAATTTTCTTTATGAAAATAATTGGTCTGATTTCTATCTCCTGCCTAGCCCATGACTGACCCAGCGCCACTCCGTGCTCCAAACCCTCAAGGGAGTGCTGTACTCTTTGACCAGGAGTTCTTGACTAAAACAAAACAGAAAACTACAGGTGAGTCCATCAAGACTGCTGCTCTTGTATCAGAAGGCACTGAAAACCCTTTATAAATGTAAAATGCCCTTCCCCATTCACTTGTAGAGGATAAATAGCCAGTATTTTAATTACTCTGCAACCAAAGGTTTGCACCCTCTGTGGGTCAACATTTCTTATTACATTCATCAAAATCAAGCTAAAAACACTGCACCAAGTCATCTATGACAGCAGGCCATTCCCTCCTTTTCCATGGCTTCCAGCTTCTGTTTTCAGAAGTGTTAACAGAGTTTAGAAATCACCCAAAGTGCAGATATTGAAAACAACAACGAGTCAGTCACCACAAACTGCTCTTTTCCACTGTGATTCTCTTCTCTGAAGAGTAAGTCCTGGCAGCTTTGAAAGGGCAGTTGCAGCAGCCCTTCCCCCTTCTCTTCCCTCCTTCCTTCCTCCTGCAAGGCTGAGAAGGAAGGATGGAGACTCAGGAACTGCAAACCCCCAGGCTGTTCTCAGTGAGCTGCTCACAGGCACAACCGAGTGCTACTGGAAAGACACCAGGACTTCTGGAAATATTAACTGTGCGTAAGGATTCATGACGCTTTGAGGAAAACAACTCTGCTTTCAAGCAGTGAAGATGCTTAACTATATTTTTCACATGTTTTTTATCCCCAGATTTATATTCTGGAGAAAGGATTTCCTCTTTCTGGTGACTTGCCTAAATATTATCAAATAGTTTCTAACTATTCTAACCCTGCGGGGCTTCTTGTATCTTCCTTTATGCATTTCTGACTTTGTACCTGGTGCATTTTTCCATCTTCAATTCTGAAAGAGAGATGGCTCGGGCATCTTTTTTTGGCAAACACATCCATCTGTCTCTGTCTGAATGGGGAAGACTCTGCCTTTCCAGCGATGGAGAAGGCGTAAACTAAGCCAACGATACTCAAATTCCCACAGAAGAAAGTGTTTGGAGAGATAATCCTTAGGAAAAAACCTCATTATTTCACTTTCACATAAAGGGGATATTAAATGAGTATAGTCAAAGAAAGGATCTTTGTCCTTCTGAATGAGATGCATAGGGAGAACCTTTTAGAAAGGCATGTAATGAACTAGGAGACAGTGCCAGAGCCTAGTGCCTGGAAAGTGCCATTTGCAGGTAAAGAGCATGAACTCACATCCTTGAACGCCTTCAGTTCAGTCAACAGGTTTTCTGTCACTCCCACCATTTAAAAATCTAACAGGGTTCTACTGTGCCCCCAAATAAAGAATCGTTCTGAAGGTAACAACCTGGCCAAGCCACCCCTCTAACTAACTCCCAGGCAGCACTGTAGGATCAATTTAAAATAGGATGCTTTAGAAATGTATAACTGGTAGACTTTGTTCATATTGGAAAAAAATCCCCATTGTGGGAAATTCAAAACTGAGCACCATAGAATGGTCTTCCATCTGATGAAGTGTCATCAGAGAAAGCAGTCTCAACAGAAACAAAAAAGACTCAATGTCAGGTCCTCTTGTTGCAGGTGGCAAGAGCCTGTCGTTAAAAGGAAGAATACACTAAGGGCTTAAGTTATCAAGAACGAGTCTCCTTAGATTTATGGCCTTTCATTCATTTTCCCCAAACATAAATTACCTGTCATCATAACTTAAAACTGAAACAGTTAATTTTGCCATGAAGTTATATTAACTAAGTTTTCTTACTCCCCTTCTTTTATTTAAAATGAAAAAAAAAAAAAAAAAACCCACAAAAACCAACCTTTCAAAGTCGGACCTGAACCACTCCTGCAGGTGTGGAGGAATATGGGAGAAGGGTCTCAGGTGGTAGAAAGGCAGCACCGTCAGCATTGTACAGGAGAGTGTATTTGAAGACCTAATAGCACTGTCTGAAGCAGGGCGTGACAGTGTCATCGCTCATGTCAGGCCTGAACTGTCACCCACAGTCTCTTTGAGGGGATGAGGCTTACCTGTGGCCACCCAGAACATGAGGAGTGAGCCATTTCCCAACAGAACACTGTTCTCCATCTCTGAGATCACTCCTGAGGAAAGAGGGTCACACGACCGTGTGCTGAGGGAGATATGTCCAGGAAAAAAACCTCCTCTCTGCTAGTTGAGCTCAGAACACACCTAATTGCCCAGCTCTAAGGCTGGGAACTGCAGCTCCACAGCAGCTCTGAGTTCATGGGATGTGCAAAGCTGTAAGATTCTGGTTGCTTCTGCCCAGCCTTGGACACATATGCTGTCTTAGAGCTCTGAATGGGTAAATCAGGAGCCAAATTGAGCAGAAGTAGTTCTTCCTGCCTTAAAAAAAATGTAACCTTCCGCACAAAAATGTAAAATTGAAGTGGCCCTAGGGCCAGGGTACACTGTTTGATATTTTCACATAAGGGTCCCTTAACGATATTTTCACATTAATGGGCCCGTGAATCTTCTAGATGTCAGGCACGGGACAGCCCGCATGACTTGGTTACTCACTATTCACACACTTAAATTAATCGCAGGGCTGACTGTGAATCTTTCTACTTCATAAAGAGCAAGGTCTAACTGGGAACCAGGCTGAAGGTTATACTATCTGTGATTATAGACAAGCTCGGTGCACATATTTGTTACGTAAGCAAGACCTAGGTGGGAATGCTAAAACTACCTAAATAAAAAATTCTGTTTCAGTTCCTGAGGTTTGTCCAACTGACTACAAGAATAATTATAAGTTGATGGCTTCAATCTGAACTGCCTGAAGTGGTCAGTTGGCATTAATTTGATATCTGATGCACTTGACACTCACGCAATACACATTTGCTAATTTTCTTTTATTCTTTAGTCCAAATCAATGAAGTTTCAATTTTGTCATCCTAACTTGTTATGTGTCTTATCTTCATTTCAGAACGGAATTCCATTATTTGTTTAGATGTGACTTTTCACTGGCTTTTCAGCTTTCCCTCATGTTTTATTCAGATTCAGCTGCCTTTAAGCCAGATTGGAACTATGTACTTCAGATCCACACACTGGGGTCTGTAACTGGTCCAGGTGAAATAGTTTATCCCTCTGCTGTAACCATGAGTTAGAATGAAACCTGGACCTCATCCAGCACAACAGCTTTGTTTTTATATGGGGAGACTGAGGCCCAGAGAAGTGAAATGACTCACTTGTGGTATAGCTGGCTTTAGCTAGACAGAGCTGGCAAATACTCAAACTCAGCTGTATTTACTTAAGGTGAAGACTGGACTCGAAGGATCTTTTGATTCCTGCACTTCTTACAAACACCTGTCTATTTATTCTTGCCAAGTATCCTGTGTGCTTTTAACAAAACACTTGCCACGAGCCCAGCCTCCGATACAGGTCTAAAAGGGCAAGAGACAGATTATCTGGTCAGTTGAAGAAAACCATTTAGTTTACTCAGCAAATGAGAGACAATCTTTAGGCTTTGACTCCTGTTAAATAAATGACCTACAATTAATTATTATCTCCCCAGCATTTATCCTGTAATCCCTAGTTTTAAATTATCTAGTAGTAATTGCTCCTAAACCTATGTCTGTAATCAGACTGCAGACAAAAATCAGGTCTTTCTGCAGCAATTAAAATGCAAGCCCTCATTTTTTTCAGCTAAACTATGATATTTAATTAGTGCCATAACAGTTTTCCTCTTTATAGGGATAAATGCATCTTTAAACATATTTTTCAGGTTGGAGAGCTCTGTTGTGTAGGCTTATTCTAGAAGACTAAATGCAAACATGTTGTGCTAACCATTCATTTGTGACTTCAATCATTACTAGAACTGCATCTTCTGTAACACAAATGCTAAATTATACATTATGTATCTTTCCAAGCCCATTAGATCAATTTTTAAACAGACCAATAGAAATGATCATGTCACAAACTTAAAATAAACTTCTATAACTTCATTTAATATTGATCATTTAATAAACTTCTATAACTTCATTTAATATTCAATTTAAATTTGAAAAAAGCAAATACCTGTAATAAATTTGGCATGAATGATGATATATTTTGATACAATTATTGTGCAGAACTGTGTACATATATAAATCTATAGGTAGAATTATATACACTTCGATATATACCACGTATTTTTTTTCTACTTACATTTTTCTCTTTAGTAAAACAAAGCAGTTTTATTGTACATAGATGTGCAATGTTACATTAAGTCCTGAGTAATTTAATGAATCTTTAATAAGCTACTACTGTAAATTCTAATTTGTCACCTAAATTTCCAGTAGATTCTGTAACAAAAATGTGAACAAAGTAATGTTTAAAAATATGCATTCAGCTTTGCACTTATTTTGTGCTTAGCAGAAAAAGCTTGAGAATGCACAGTAGCCATTTAGATTTGGAAAAATATTCTCAAACATTCAAAGTTAAACAAACTTACTATCTGTAGGAATTTATAGAAGTTTTTTTTTTTTTTTTGGTCTTTTTTCCGTGTCCGGCAACGGATCGCAACCCTCAGTGTTGCCCCCGTACCGGACCGGGGACCGGCAACGGGATTGCAAGCCGTAGCCATTTAGATTTGGAAAAATATTCTCAAACATTCAAAGTTAAACAAACTTACTATCTGTAGGAATTTTTAAAAGTTTTTTTTTTTTTTCTGGTCTTTTTTCCGTGTCCGGCAACGGATCGCAACCCTCAGTGTTGCCCCCGTACCGGACCGGGGACCGGCAACGGGATTGCAAGCCTCGGTGTTGCTCCCGCGCCTCGCTCAGCCAGTGAGCGGGAGCCGGTCTGTATGTGGGATCCGACCCCTCGGACGGGAGCGCCGCCGCGCTTCCCAAGCGGCGCACTATCCAGTGCGCCACCGGGCCGGCCCAAAATTTATAGAAGTTTTAAATGATGCTGCCTACATCCAATTTGTCAAGCATGGAAGACTCTAGTCAAACAATTCCCTTTTGCAGAATATGAAATTCTGTGTAAACATCAGTGTCTAAGTGCTATGTAAAAGTTCTGATTCAAATGAGGGAAAAAAGAAAAAAAAATGCAATGAAATAATTTAAAATCCTTTTCTTGGGATACAGCCAGCCACCTGGAAGGAATATAAAAAATAAGAGTATATTTTGGTGAAAGAGGAAACCAGATCAAAGTCATTTAAGGGTGGTCTGGTAAGTCACCCACTTTGGAGGTCCCAGGTTGGCTTGGCTCGGGGAGCCCAAGATAATCAAGCCATGTCCATCTTGCCACAGGTGAGCACTCGGCTGAGCAATGAGAAGGAAGCACTGATGGAAAAGGCCACATTCAACCGCAGTGGAACAGTAGCAGCTGCCCATCAAGGTCGCCATCAGCAGGCAAAGCAGGGCATTGTCAGACTCAGGCACCCGGCCTGGAAACGTGAGCGGTCCCAGCCGGCCACTGCACGCCTGCCCTGGGCAGAAGCAGGCAGGCCTGGATCCTTACGGGGGAGGCCGCCCTGCACTGGAGCCCGCTTCGACGAGAAGGCACTGAGTTGGTGGATCCTCCGTCCCTCCAGCTCTAACCGGTCCCGTGGCTGCTGTAGTCAAACACTCCCTTCTTGAAGAACGGCGAGAACTCACAAATGGTGTGTTTCGAGAGAGTCTGCCCCACTTTGCTGATGTGTAGGGGAGATGTCGCAGATTGGAGCATCACGCTGAAAAAGTCCCTGAGGTATTTCTGAGGAAGAGACAAGAATTAAGAGCATGGTCGAAACATTGTTGGGTGGAGTCTAGGAAAGGAGAAGAAATGTCCAGAAACAGCTTCCCACCCACCTAGAAAGATATATCACTGTCATTAAAACAACACAAGAAAAAAGTCCTCAACTTCCTTAGCTGTCATCAGACCAACCAGAGAGAAGAGAGCCATGACAAACATAAACACAGGAGAAATTTCTTTGGCTCAGGGCTCTGATTCACAGCAACTCTGCCTCAGGTCTATCTGCAGACAACGCCAGAGAAATGCCAATGGTGCCTAGCACAGGGGATCTGCTTTTCAGCAACAGTGTCCCTAGTTAATCTCCTATTTTTAAGAAGTCATTTTCTCCCTAAGTTACTCATTAAATAGAAAGATGATTAAAAAAAAAAAAAAGGTTGGCCATCTGTACAATGTTAAATGTGCTGCTTATTGGCATCTTTAAATTGCACAGTCAGTATCTGCTTTGAATCCTTCTTATAAAATAAAGGGAAAGAAACTGGGGACAAGAGGGTCAGTTCCAAGCACTGATATTTACAGATCATTTTGCAAATCCTATAACCATCAACCAAAAGAAACTCTTACTGAGATTAATTGCTCTGAATCCCTTCCCCCATCTCCCCCCACTGTACTCGTTTGTCACAACATCATCCATCCTTTCTGGCACCAAGGAAGCAAAGCACAAAGCACATCTGAGACCAGACTCCACGATGCTGGGGATAACGTCAGACGTGGGTGCTGGTGCGAGGGAGTAAAGGAAAAGGACACACACGAATAGTTAATATATTTTAGACCAGGCAAATCTCATCTATAATGGAAAATGGGGTAGAGGAAAGGGGTTAGACCTAAACCTTTATTACTATCTCATTTATAAAAAATAAACAATTGTGATATAAACTTAGAAATCAAACAAAATAATTCTGGACTTTGAGTAACAAAAAATATGTGTCTAAGAAGTGTGGCCTAAGCCTACAGCCTTGGTTCCTAACCAAGGACAATTCTATCCCACAGGGGATATCCAGCAATGTTGGGAGGCACTTTTGACTGTCACATGGAGTGAGAGGGAAGGGTGCATCTGGTGGCTGGAGGACAGGGATGCCGCTAACTTCCTGCAATGCACAGGACAGCCCCTACAACAAAGAATTATCTGGCCCCAAATGTCAACAATGCCACAGCTGAGAAACCTTGCCCTAGAGGAAGTAGAATTCAGCTACCTCTATAAATTGCCACCATGAAATTTAGCTGTGAGACAAAACACTCTAATTTGTTAGCTACTTTTTTTCAAATAAAAAATAATAACAAGGATTACTAATAACAACATTTGTATAATAATTTATAATTTCTAAAATATCTTCTAACATCTAATTTTTTACACTTTATGGAAGTAAAACTGACACACAATAAACTGCACATTCTTTAAATGGATAATTTGACGCGTGCTGACACATGTGAAACCACCGACAAGTCAAGATAACAAACATACGCATTATTCCCAAATGCTTCCTAAGTCACCTCAGTTTCTGTGATCTTCACACTCTGCCCAGAATGATCTTCCTGTACATTCTCCCAGCTGTTGCTGGAAGAGGTGAGCAAGGCTAGTGATCAAGAGAGAAGACTTGAAAGCTCCTGTTCTTAACTTAGACTGTTTTCCTTGTTCAGTATTTCCAGTTTACTAGTCTCATGGTAACCCCCTAAGAAAAGATCCTGGAATTGAAATTGGGTTGAGGTAAGAAGGTGCCAAAACCACCAGCTGAAAAATGAAGATCTTAACCTTAGTACTTACATGCCTCACAGAGACAAAAAGAAATGTGACTTCAACTTTTCTGGGGGAAGGAACCCTGAGAATATCAACTTTAGAGGGACTTGAATCCCGCCAACCATGGTTACCAGTAAATATTGTACACTACACCCAACCAGCCATTGCTCTCAATAAAATGCCTGTGCACAACTGATTGTTTTTGGAAGATCAAGAGTGAAATGACTTAGAATGAGGAGACAAGCTTGCCCACGAGTGCATGGAGCTGCAGCCCTTTCACGGCTGAACGCTGGGCTGGAGCAGGGCTCGCTGCACAGGCGTCCTCTCCGCAGCTCCTGCCTCACGTCTCCCGCAGGCTGCATTAATGTGCAGACTAATGTTCACAGCAAACCTGCCTTCAAGATGAACTCTGACAGGATAGGAGGTAATTTAAATCTGGGAACAGATGTTGTATCAACATTTGTCATAATTAGTTCACAGAGCAGGGTCTCTTTAAAGGGCCAATAAAGCCTGAAGGGTATAATGAGAAGTAGAAGTTAAAAATATAAATAAAAGAAAAAGAGGAAGTATTCGAGCCACTATCCCTGCCAGAACACCACCATAAAAAGAGAACAATAAATCAACTGTAGGTAATGCCTTCTTTTTCTTTAAGTAAACTTATTAGCAGGGCTTGATGAAAACTCCAGACAGAAAGATACCATTCGATTAATGCTAAGGGCTAGGGACAGAAGACGACGGAACTAAAGATCCAGAAGGCTCCTGAGGTCACAGACAGTGTCTCATTCCTTCTTGCAATCATCCCTGGCACATTGCCAAACTTAGGGAAAGTGCTAAGAAGAAACCTTAATGACTGATTTTGATGACAATTCTTTTTTCTAAAATCGAAGTATATACACAGAAAACAGCATGCATCACAAGTGTACAGCCTAATGAATTCTCACAAAGTGCCACACCTAAGTGATCAGCATCCACGTGTAAATAACACGGCACTTCCAGCCCCCAGGCAGCCTCCTCCAGGTACAATCCTTCCCTCAAGGGTAACCACTGTCCCGACTTCTAGCACCATAGATGAGTTTTGCCGGTTCTTGAACATCACGCTAATGGACTCACACGGGATATACTCCTTTGTGTCTGGCTTCCACTGCTTAACAGCATGTTTGTGAGATTCATCCACACTGTGCGTGTAGTCGTAGAGTCGGTTCAGTAACTCTGCAGTGCAGTATATTCCATGAGGAACATACTGAAGAACTTCAGCAGAGGGACATGTAATGGTGACTGGGCTGGGCCTTTTGTCTGAGCTCTTCTTCAGTCATGAGATGTACTTACAATTACTGGGGTCTAGTGAGTCAAGTTTATCACTATCCTTCCAATAAAGAAGTATCTCCTTGGGGTTTTGGGCACTGTACTAGAACTCTGTTATTATATGTATATTTAAAATATATTATAATTATATGTAAAATACTACCTTAACAACGCATACATTCATATTAGTAAATTTTGTTGCCCGTGATCACAATATTTCCTACACCATCTGTGGCTGAAGGGAGAAAATTAAAGTCTTCCTGTCCAAGCTATTCCTTTTTTGTTGATCCAAAGACATCCCAGCCCTCTCAGCATGTGAAAAATAAGACCAGGAGCTGAGCTGTATCCCCAGGGCAGTACACCTTATAAAAGAAGACTGCAAAAATTAAAGGACATTAGGAGTGTAAGTGACTTCTCAGGGGTCAGAAGGGAGAAGCAGAAAAAGGATTTGTGAAATCCAATATCCAATTTCTGTTTCTGACTTTCACAGGACATTTTCTCCATTATAAAAAGAAATAGAAGGAGGCATATTTAAATCTCCATAGCCCATCAGGGACTGCAGAAGGCTGGTAACTCTGGCCCACACTGGTGGTAAGTGGTTGGTGTCGTACCTGAGTCTCTGCTATGTTAAATGCCCTGGATCAGAGCCACTGGGAACAGGAACTGCACCGCCTGGGGTTGTGCACCATTATAGCCCTGCCTTGCATACTTGGAGGAGGAAAATCAGATTAAATCAAATCCTCTTTCAATGAGACTGCAAACCAGGAAACAGGATGGGATGGCAGAGCAAGAAGGCCAGGGCGAGGGTCTGTCTGCGAATGAGCAATCAAGGGAAAGGGAGACAAGAGAGGAAGGGCTGGGATAGAGGGGACACAAAAGGAGGAGAGGAAAGGAAAAGAGCAGGACAAGGCTGGCGACAAATGCCCACAATGTATGTTTATCAAGTTGGTGAAAAGGATTTAAGAATAATAAACATACATCAGACATTTATCTAGGTTATTTACTTTCTGCTACTTGGACCAACACTAAAGTATAAACAAGGTGTTTTCTTATCAGTGTTTTCAGAAGATTGAATTTAGATGGCTACTCTTTCAGGTGTATTTCAGTACTGACCTTTTGAGTACCTTGATTTCATAAAGAGCCTTCTTCCATGGGTTTCTGGCATATTTTGCCATTTAGGAAAGTCAACCTATACAGGGGTAGTGTGCAGGGCGCAGAGCTAACCAGAGAGATGGACCCCACGGGTCTGTTCCGACGGACGTGTGACCCTGGAGTGTGATTTTTTAAATCCCCCTAAAACAAAGACAAAATCCTGTAGGAACTGTGGTGTGAAAGTGGGGAACGAAGGTGTGCTGATGTCAGAGACGCCCTATGCTGGGGCTTCTCGCCCCTTCTTTCCCATGTGGCTCCTTGTTATTTTAACCCTTGCGTGCCAAGACCCCACTTATTTCCTTAGGATTGTCCCCCACAAGCATACAAGCATGACTAGCTACCATTTTGTTTCTCTTATAGGGAGACCATTTATCAAGGGCTTGCAATGCTCTGGCTACTGTGAGAATTGTTTAATGGGATATCTTTTTCAATTCCTACAACTTAATGAGGTAGGGACTATTATTATGTCTATCTTACAGATGAAGAAAGAGGTCCAGGAAGCCTAAATAATGTCCCAAAGATTATGAAGCATATGGGCAGGACAGCCAGGACCAAGCCCAGATCTCCTGGCTCCAGAGGCTGCATCTGATTCTCCAGGCTGCTGTCCACACGACCTGCCATCCCCCTCTTCTCAGTTGGGCCCTCTCTGCTAAGCACCACTGTCTCCGCTGGGCTAGGCCATCTACACTGGGTATCTCAGCTGCTTGGGGAAGATAGGCTGCCTTCCCCAGACCTGTCAGTGCTCTCATGGTGACCAGTGGGCACTGGCTTCTGT